TCTTCAGAACCGAACCGAACCACGGACAGCCCTAATTAATTGTGACTGATAATTTGATAAATTATGACTTATAATATTTGTGACTGTTACCTATAAATAAATTTTGACGCTTCAATTTTTGATTTGTGACCGACGAATAAATTGTGACTTATAAATTTTTTTGAATTATGACGTTAAAATAATTTGTGATATATAAAATTTGTAATTTGTGATAAATGAATAATACGTGACTTACTTTTTTTATAAATTTCTGACTGATAAAATAATTGTGACCTATAAAATTGTCGATTTGTTATTATGAAATTATTTGTGACCTATTAAATTTTTTGTTGTGATCGAGAAATAATTTGTGACCAATTAATTTATAATGTGACCAAATTATATGAAATTGTGACCTTAATATATTTAATTAATAAAATATATATTTAATTAATTAATTTAAAAATTTAAACTTAAGTTCTTAAAATTGAAATTGGTAAAATTAAATGTCTTAGTTATGTATTGTTCCCTTATTTAAGACCTAAACTCAATAAATGTGCCCAATCCAATCAAGTAGGGGTTAGACATGTTATATTTTTTAATTGGGCCAGTATCAGCCCATTTCATAAGCCCGATTGTGCTGACTAGATTTATTTACGTGTAAATAACCAAATCCACTTCACTCTAAAGTAAAAATTCTTGCATCATTTTATTCAAAAAAATTATTTGGATTTTTTTTTTAGGTAACGAGGTGATGACGTGATTTTTATGTAATAAATTCCTTTATAATTTCAATATTTTTTTTTTCATAATTACAATTTCTTTACTTAATTGTCCTTGATGCAATGTCGTCGTTCCTTTAACATTAAAAATGAATAACGTTTTAAAAAATGATGAAATTTTAATTTAGGTTCATGATTGAGTTTTTTAAACACAAATAAGTGTTCGTAATTATTTATCTACAATTGATTATAAATTTCATATCCCGTTAACAATTTCAGCACTCGATTTATAATATGAAAACGATTTACAAAAAAAAATGTAACCTCAAATTAACACAATCATTTTATCAATATTCAATGAAAACAAAATTGTAGAATAACCATTTTAACATTTATTTGTCTCAAAAATTAAATTTGAGTTTGAAAGTTAAAAAAATAATCATAAACAATAACAGTCTTGATGTCAACAAACAAGTTCTTGAACAAATTCATTGCTTCTACAATTTTAAATAGAAATTACAGATAATTTTTGGAAATAATTTACAGGGAAGAAGAGAAAATCATATTAATAAAAATTTAAAAAGCTACAACCGACGAGCCAAAATTTCTTGCTGCTGCATGTCAGCCCGAAACTTGGCTATAAACTCTTCAGCTCTCTCATTGATTCCTTCCATTTGCGGTGATGCTAAAACCAATGATTCCCACATATCATCTGCTGTATGCTTGTCCTCTTCTGTCAAATTATTACTTTTCTGATTATAATCAGAAACCCCACTTTTCTTTAAACTGCTTGATGAACATTTCTCCTTATTTTCGCTTGATTCGTCCACTTCTTGCTCTTTGAATACAGATACCGGTTCTATAAACAACTTATCAACGTACACAGGAGTTGTTATTTGTTGTAGATGACACAGGCTGTGACATTGATAACCTAAAGTAGCAGGTTTTTTGCGTTTGAATTTCTTACGTTGAATAGAAAAGGTTGGTTTTAGCCATGAAAGTTTCTTCGAAGCTTTTCGGGGTCGGGTTTTTTGTTTCTTGATCGCTTTGGATTTGTGCAATCTGAGTTGAAATTTGCTGGTGAGCACCTTCCATACTTTTCTTGGAGGCAACAATCTTCCCAAATTCAAGAAAGTCATTAGATACAGAGAGCGAGGTTGTAGAGAAAGAGTTTACGAGGGGTGCAAGAGTGATGTGAAGAAATCTAGGAGTTGTTCTTTATAGTGGCGTGAGAGAATTATTCTTGGATAATTATTACTTATTAGTGGTTAAAAAATTGGGTTTTGCTACTGAACGCCCATGTACCCGCCCCCCACTCACATTGGGGGTCCACCCCATTGTTTTATTCACCTCGGGCTCCCCCCATTGTGAAGGGGGCAGTGAGGTCATGTACACACCCTGGTACAAATGGTTTTTCCCTAAAAAAATTGTGTAATTATTCCTAAATTCTTACGCTAATTGTTTGATAGAAGTGATCAAAAAGTAGGAATGTTAAATGGGTCGAGCTGACTCAATCCACCATGCGAGCTAGCTTGCTTTATCAACGTGTGACTTATCTCACCCCCACGACCTCACCTTGATGGAGCGAGCCACTTGTGACTAGTCATTTTTTAGTAGAAATTGCAATTTTCATTTATCATGACAAATCATCTCACAAATTGTTGCTCACACGATCGACTTGTCGACTTGCCTTATTTTACACCCATATCAAAAAAATTGCACTTATGAAAGCTATGATTCTATTANAAAATTGCACTTATGAAAGCTATGATTCTATTAGTTACGTTACAAAATGTTCCGTCGACTAATTAATGTAATATTCAATAGATAAAATTAGTAACTATGGTACACATATGGACAAATATTGATTTTCTCGTTAAATCAATTAGAAAAGCCTGAAGAGCTTTGATAATACCTTTTACACGAGATACTCCACGATTGGAATAGAACATAGCTTGCTTAAAGTAAGAATCATATAAGTTATGAAAGAGTTAGATGGGGTGGTCCATTTAGCCCCTGTTTGATTTGAATTAAAATCTGATTTTAATTCAAATTAAAGTCAAACAATCAATATTAACAACACTTTTCATGGATCCCACAACTTTTCAACTACACATTTTAAAAACTTTTATCACAATCTATTAAAAATCTAATTTTAATATCTACCAAATACCTTCTTAATATATGAGAGGATTAATCTCCTTGTACATTATGGATGCCATAATGGCATCCATAATGTAC